TTTTTTTCATTTGAGATTCTTGAATTTATACATTTAAAATACATAATTCCACTCTCCCAGTGGTTTAAAGAATATGAGCAGTATTCATTCAGATGTGTTCTAGCTCTAACATTTCTTTTGCAATTAGACAGTTTGTCTTATGTATGTTTTCAAGCTGTTCAGCTAGTTTCCAGGTTCTTCTGTGTGAATTTCAGTTCTGCGCTTTGGCTGTCAGGTGAATGTTTCGCTGTATTTCAGCCCATTAAACATGTTTTTCTCCAAAGATTTCAGCAATTATAAAAATTCAACTCAAACTATTCGGCTATTAGGATTCACACTGCATTTTCTACAGGAAATGCATTTTATATACCAGTTTGTTGCTGTTGTTCATATGTTAACAGAATAAGTTCAAATTGTATTAAAAATAATACCATCAATTATGTTGCTGGACTACACTTACTGGACTTAGTAAGTGTTAGTTAGGAAGTATTTTGAGAACCATAAGAGATTCTTACAAATGTTTGAAATAAAAAAATCTTTAATATAGCTGGAGACTCATGTAGAAATATGAATGAGTTTATACAATTTGATTTCTGCTATGGTGTGCTGTGACAGGCAGGTTGTAGGATCCAAACACAGGACTCTTACGTGGAATGAAACTTAAATCGGCAGTTTTTATTGCTGGAAAAACGTTTTCATTAGAGATAAACGTTTCATTAGAAACTCAACTGGACTCAAGAAACTAAGAAACAAGAACTAGAAAAACAAATCAGGAATTATGAACAAGAATTAAATAAAGAACATGAAGGGGAAAAAACACCCAGCCCACTGAAAACTAAAGAAAACCCCAAAACATGAACAACAATCATCAAGGAACATATTTACATATTTACAGTTACTGCAACACCAACACTGGGTTGCAGACCCAGTACGGTGACAATTTCAGTTTCAATGTAAGTCAGTGTCTTTTGGGCTGCAGCAGAACAGACTTCTCAGTCTTTTGAAGAAGCCCTTTTTCTTCTTCTTCTTATTGATCTGAAGGTCTTTGCACTTAATACTGGATTCAGGTTCAGGAAAAGGTTCCTCAAAGGGATCATCAGGAACTTTCGAAAGAGATCCTTTGATCTTATGATTTTCGCCTTTAACACTGGATTCGGACTCGGCAAAGGGTTCCTCACAGGGAACGTCTGCCACTGCCACACATTCTGAAAGAGGTCTTCACTCGTAAGGTCTTCAGCCTTCAGAATAGATGAACTTTCAGCAAGAAGTTCCTCACAGGGAACGTCAGGCTCTGGAACACTTTCTGAAAAAGATCCTTCAGCTGGTGGAACATTTGCCATTGAAAGACCGTCAGAGGAGCGTTCTTCATTTGTGTTCTTCACATCAGGAAGACTTGAAGGGGGCTCAAAGATTTCAGATATCCGGACCAGTGCTACATCAGCAATGGTCTTCAGCAACACTGGCGCAAAGTTTGCAACTTTGATAGACAGAATTTCTTGAGGAAATTTCTTCCTGATCTCCATCAGCATGCTGTCGACCATATTGTCTCGGATGGAGCAGATGAAGATGGCCTGTGTTTCCATCACCGTTAGACTCTTGGAGACACGATCTAAAGTGGCCTTGGTGACACTCGAGGAGAGGATGCTTAGACTCTGGGAGGCCATGTTTAGGAGGGGACGAGGAGGAAGCTCCCAGAAGCCCTGGAGAACGCGGGGAACTACCTCGATCACTACCTCCTGCGCGGTGAGCAGTTTGCTGTTATGCTGTTCCTGCTGCTTCTCTTTTAGGATTTCAATGTAATCCTTCACCACGCTCAGGAGTTTAGGTGCTCTGTAGAAAAACATTATAAGAGTTATCTTTTAAACATATTCATAGCATCACTTAAATATTGAAAGACTGTAGCTGGACTGTTAACCCTGTAATGCCCTTTGTATCATACTTGATACATGAGTTCCTGTGACTTCTATCTCATCAACATGATCAGTACTTGCCATAATTTCAAAATGTTACGGACAAAACTCTTTTTTTTGTCTAACGTTGAAATTGTTGTTAACAAAAAGTTGCCAAAAACACCCAATGTATCAAATTCGATACAAAAATGTAATAAATACATAATAAAAGTATATATATATGTGGCTTTTGTTTAAAGGGTTAACCCTTTAGAGCCGATCGGAGCGGGAACGCTCTGTTATGCGTAACTATTTTTAAATCCCGGTAGCACTGCAGCCACGTAAGCTAGCGCAAAAA